AAATATTCAAATTTTATTAAAAAAGAAAAATGGCACTGGTTTTCACAGAACTTCTTTTAGCCCTTTTCAAAATATTCTTTTAAACTTTTAATATTCTTTCCTCTTCTCAATTTTTTTTCCTGTATAATACATATTTTGTTTGCTATCTTTTTCCATACACAACTTTTGTTCTAAGCAGAGAGAAAACATTTATTAAACAAAGCAGACTCGGTCTTAATTAATTTAAGGCCTTGCCCTTTTTCTCATTACAACCTGAGTTAAACAAAATTATTAAAGCATTTTCTTAATATTTTTGAACTTACCTTAATTTTTCTTTTTCCCTCCACTAATGGGAAAAGCTGTTACTCATTCTCAGTCCATCTGCCTAATAGAAACTAGCTTCTGACAATTAAAGTGCTAGCATGTAAGTTCTTGAATGACATACCCCTATCTGAAGATTAATTTTTGCAATTCATGACTGATGAGATGCATTATTATCTGCAAACTTATCACCTCTCTTGCCCAAGTTCCAGCTCAATCTGATCTTTGTTAAAGCTAAATGAGAACAAATGCAGTTCTTGAGAACAATGGAAAAAGGTACAAAGTGCAGTACATTTTGTTTAAATCATTTTTTGGAGACGCTGTCTGTGGGTGTTAGTATAGTTATGAATCATTTTATAACCAATCTTGGAACAAAACAAATAAAAAACCAGAAAATACACTTGTTCTTAGAGAACGAACAGTTCATCAAAATGTTTCCCATCTTAACACCAAAAAGGGCAAAAAAATGGAGCTTCAAAGGATTTGAAACTGCAAAATTATGATTAGGGAACATAGAGTCAAGCAAATGCTCACTGACATTTGGAGAGGGGTTGTTTTCATTCTAAAGAAAATTCCTGCATTCAGTCAATCTCCTTTGTGAGTAGTCACGAAAGCTTTCCACACCTTATCTTCAAGAGGTTCTTCTAAGAAGACTAAAGATGCTGGTTTATTTTAGGGTATGTGTGAGTGACTTGCTGGCTTTGGGGAGCAGGGTTGCTCGCTCAGCAGTGACACCAAGGCTGTTCCCAAGTCACCGCTGTGACACAGCAGCAGACTTGAGCACATTCAGGCAGAGCAATGGAGTCAGGGTCACTGGTCCCAGTTTTCAGGATCCAATCTCATGGTCTAAGCAACACACACATTATTCAGCATCCTTTGCCTCCTGTCCCAGCCTTGTGTTTGGCAGTGGAGGCCTTAACTTGCAGCTGGAGAGTGTTGCATGAACACGATGGCAGCTGAGAGGTCTGAATATCAGTTCCACGTCTCAGAATTGTAGAATCATAGAATTTTTTAGGTTGGAAAATGCCTCCAAGATAGACTCAAACCCTTACCCCTTCCAAGTGTACCAGGTTCCTAAGTGCCACATTTATCTGCATTTTTGATGCCTTCAGGGATTGTGACCCCTGTTCCCTGGACAGCTGTTCCAATGCTTGACAACCCTTGTGGGAAAGAAATTTTCCCTAATGTCAAATATAAATCACTGGCACAACTCAAAGCCATTTCCTCTTGTTCTATCCTTGCAGACTCCTGGGTGTTTATTTCACCTCTTTTGGCATCTATTTTCCCTCCCCTCCTTCACCTGCCTGGTCAATTTAGACTGCAATCTCTCTGAGCTTCTCTGTTTTTTTTTAGTGTGAGGTGTTGATTTGTAAAGAGCCTCTCAGTATTATCACAGTAAAAAAAAAATCATTATTCCAGAAGACACCAGGGGTTGAAATCTGGTCTCATATGCCCTTGTAAATTCTTACAGTCATCCATACCAAAGGATATGTGAATTGTCAAATCACATTGGATTTGATCTTCTCTTCTGAAGCATCTGAAGTAGGATGATATTTACTTCTGTCAAAAAACTGTTCTTGTTTTGGATAGAGCAAAACCTCCAGTTTCTGTGGTACAGGCACAGTCTCAGGACATGTGATTTCTACAGTTCTTCAGCACAACTGTCCTGGCCACAGAAAAAGGTTGGAATGAGCAAAGCTTTAAAGCAGACAGCAGAAGGAGTCTGAGGACTGCTCAGTGTTGAGGAAATATAGATTGCTTGCTGAAAAAATTAAAACCAAACAAAGCCCAGGAGACTTTACATGGGTTTCAGGGAGCTTTGGAGGAAGACCTCAAACAGCTCTGACACTTAGTTCTAGTTTTAATTCTTACCTCAATGTGAAGAAAACTTCTGTAACTTATAAACAGCACTGCCAAGGGCAACAGTTTGTTTTTAAGATCACAGGGGAGTGAAAGGGCTGGGAGGGGAAAAGAAACCTAAAACTTCTCAAAGACTCTTGCAATGACTTTTCCTTCCTGTTCTGTGCATTGATCTCTTTTGCTCAGATTAAAACCTCCAGTGTCTGAAAGACACCCACAACTGACACCTATTCCACTAGACTGAAAACCATTTAAAAATTATGCTGCACTGTGGGGTTTTTTTACAGTCACACAGTGATCAGAGTGGAATAGATTCAAGACAAGGTTATTTACATTGAAAAAAAAATTGATCGCTTGTCTAACAGCAAAACATTGTTATGTCATTAAATGATAAGGACTGTATATGGCACAAGGATATCTGTTCTTTTCATAACACTGAACACATTTCTTATCCTCCTGACATTACAGTAATTTAACTTTGCAAAGTTATATTCAGATGCTGCTAGTTTTAAATGCTCCTGTACATGTTTATACAATTCATATTATGATATCCATTCTCAAAATAACTGCCAAGCCCTCCTGCTTTAAAGACACAATGTATTGCCCTGAAACTCTATACTGCAGAACCAGAGCAAGACTGCTAAAGAATGTTAAAACAATTATGTGGATTATTATTTCCTTTCATAGTAGAATCATCATTTATCAAAATCTCATTCAGCAAATTGCATTTCAAAAGTGATCCTGCAGAGGACTGAGGTCTTATTTTGTTTGAGAAATGGGGTAGTTTGAAGTCTTTTTCTTCTTCCTCTTCTTCCTCTTCTTCTCTTTATATTTCATGTCTAGGGACATGACTCCTGGATATTAGAAAAATGAACGCTGCATTCAGCCCTGATACAGCTGCATCTCAACTTGTTTGAGAGGAAGTACAAAGCTGAATCCTAAAAAGCAGCATTGTGTTCATAATCTATTCAGTAACTCTCAGGCTATGATTCAGCTCCTTTGGGTTTCCCAGTCACTGAGTCACCTTGCTCAGGATCCTGATTATTGATACTGATTACTGATGGTTCCCCCTGTGGTCAATGGGGGAAGAAAAGCTCTTATGGAGACTTATGGTAGGAAACCTGAATCACCCTGAGGGTGACATCAGCCAAGTGGAATAATTCAAGCCCGAGAGGCACATTGCTGCAGACCAGCCCCGAGACATAAAATTTAGGAAGAGAAATTACTTTTGCTACTCCTTCCCTTTCTTAATGAGAAAATATGTTTGTTTTGGAAGGGCAAAGCACAGAAATAGTTGTTGTGTATTGAGCAAAGACCGGGTAAGTGAAGCAGGTGCACTTCAGAGAGTTCTTTCATGGCAGGAAAGGGAAACGGTTTCAAGATCATGCAGCAGTACAGTAGGTTTGCTCACCTTTCACTTCAAGGCTTCACCCATCTTCTGTTCCATTTTGGGCACTGGGATGAGTTAATAGGTTTTGCCATTTGTTTGGCCATATTTAAAATAGCCTTTCCAAATCTGGCTAACACTAACCAGCTCTGCAACCCACTTGCTGTAGTACTCTTGGCCAAGTTTTCTTGAGATGGCACAAAGTACTGGAAACAAAGCAACATCAAAATGGTTAATAGGAAAATATTTTGCAGAGATCCTGACAGGCAGGGGGGTTACACATTGGTTAGAAATGCTCACAGCAGAATTGAGCACAAGTCCCCAGCCATGGTTGAGGAGCAACACACTGGGCTCTGCCAGTGAGCAGTGCCAGGGTACTGGAGTGTGCACAGTGAATTGTCAAAAACACCCTGGGAAACACAAAAGAAATAGGCTGGATTCTGCCCCATGAACCACCAGGCCAAATTAATCAGAGACTGCTTGACAAGTCATGAAAGACAGATTCTGTGACATGGAGGGAGGAAAAAAATGTAATCAGAATCTGTCATTGTGCCAAATCAATCAAAATTTGTAGACTGGATCCTGAAACTCACTTGTTAAGTATGTTAAAAAAAAAAACCAAAAAGAACCCCCAAAACCCAAACCAAACCAAACCAAACAAACAAACAAAAAAAACTGGGATAAAGCTTTGGATCCTGCCAGTATGCAATTCACTGGTCAAAACTGATAAAAATGGGTAAAGCAATCTGAATATAAGTTGTGGTATTCAAATGTGGGAACTTAAGATTGAAATCTGATGCTCTGAAAGTCATAAACATGGACATGTTTTTAGGTAAACAGAAGGATTTTTTTCATGTTTATCAAACACCAAAAGAATGCACTGTAATGAGCTGCTGCTATCAGACCTACAGCTTCAGGAAGTGGCATTGATGATAAGAATTTTGATCAGCATATCTGCACCCAGCGCAAAATAGATACAACCCTCTCATGGTTTTGCACCAAATCGAAAGAATGCCATAGTTTCATACTGATTTGCTAGACATTAAAAAAAAATAAAAGATGTTTAAAAGAACCTTTTTTAATTCTATTTCCTGAAAACAAGAAGTTGGAATATCCATCACTGAGAAGGCAGAAATTGTAGCACTTCAGATGAAACTTTCAGAATTAACGGCACCTCAAAATTCAGTTTCCTTTTACCACTCATTTTGTCAGTTCATACAACCAAAACTAATATGAACAGCAACAGCTTTTACAAATTCCTCTCATGCTTCCTATTCAAACTGCTGCCATCTTAAGCTATCTCAGACTATGGGAAATACTGAAATGTTTAGGATGCAGTTGTATTTCTCCTGAATTGGATACAAGTGTTGAGTTCAGACATTTATGACTTTAGACTTTGTTGTCTGGTTTTCCTTAAACTTGATTTCTTTTGTAGATCTCATTGAGACTTGAGGAAAATTGTTTCAATGCTTCCAGTCTTCCAGATGCTTAAATTTGGAAAGATATAGATTAAAGTGAGATTAAGTTAATAAAAGAACCACTGGGAAATGCAAATAAAATATAACAGAATTTTAAAAATAAATTTAAAAAAAGTAAATAAAATTTCCTTTGCATATATTTCAATAAAAATGTTTTGGAAATAGACCTATGCTTTTCATATTCCTTCAGCATTTTCCTGCACATTTTACTTGATAATTAGCTTACAACATGAAAAGCAAAGAATGGTCCTCAATTTTAAAACACCTGAACACATCCTCAACTTTCTTCATAAAACTAAAGCCACATGAGGCCTTCAAAACAAACAAGACTGCTCCCTAATATAAATGCACGTAGGGATGTTCACAGGTCTGTGTTTCAAGGTTTGATTGTTAATCATTTTTTATTTGTCCTAATTACATTTTTAATTGAAACATACAAGAAAAAAATGTGTTAGGTTCACTCTTGACTAATTTACACTCAATCATTTTAACAAAAAAAAAAAATAATATAAAAACCCAAACATTTACCTTTCAGTTGAATCCAAGCATGGATAGTTCCAGCCCCTCAAATTTATTGTGAGAAAGTTATGAGCATCTGAGAAGAAAGGGGAGGGAATAGGCTGGAACTTACTCATGAATGCCATATTGTGTAGCTAAATCCTGTTTCCCTCTGTTATTACAGAATGTTGCTCCTTCCCTGCAGATTAACAAATAAAGAAAAATATATACTAGAAAGATTCCAGTCTTTCCAAACTATGTATTATAGACACTGCTTCTGACTGCTTTGATCTTTTCAGTTTCAAAATTGTAAGTCTATTAAAGGTTTAGGATACTAAGAATAAGGAGCTAATCTTACATTAAAGTGATTTGACTCACAATAGTGGAAAATGTTGATACAACCATATATGCTATTTATTTAGATGCCACACAAAGACCTCCTAAATGATGGTCTCACTTTTCAATACCTTGAGGGAGCACACCTGAGTCTGGTTACTTCTGCAAAGAATCCACTGGGCTTCAGACCTGAGACAAACTCAGGCAAAAGCTTCATGAGATCCATGTCCATCACTCTCACTGTTGTTAGCTTGGCCTGTTACAGAAACTCCATAGAAATGGAGAATAAAAACAATAAATTAAACCCACCCAAAGCTAATATACACTGGGAGTTGGTAGTGGTATGTTCTTGGTAAATTAATCCGGTTTCTGTGTGCACAAGAAGTATTACGTGAGTAATAACAGCTTTTCAGTGCTCTTTTTAAAGTTCCTTGTAAATTTATGAATAAAATGAAAATGTCTCAGTTCATGTGCCTGAAATGTGTTAATATGACTGCATAAATCACATTACTTGATTAAAAGTAACTTATTTGATGATAAAAAAGTCATATAATTTTCTGTGTGAGTCAAAATTTCTGATCATATAGTATCATCATACAATCAATGATGATCATTCCTGATCATCATACAATCAATCATTCCTGTTAATTGGACAGTGAAATAATTTTCTGGACAGTGTGTTGTTTGGTTTTCAATGATGAATGATCAGCTTAAGCGTTTTATGGCTTCTAGGTCCAGGATTTAGGATTTAAATACAAAAAGTGTTGAGCAAACCAGCTCTGATTCTAAAGTGACTTAAACACATATGTAAGGGCTTTGCTGGGTCACTCCCAGGTGAGTCAGCACCTTCTAGGGACAAACTTTCAGTGTTAATTGAAGAAGTAAAAACTTTCTCTTCTTCTCTTGAGTGCCTCAGGTTCCAACCCCAGCTGCTAAGACACAATGAGTTCATTAGACCAGCTCAATTTCACACTCTCTCCTCTGATGAGGTGTATTCATTGGGGTGATGAAAAGCAAAGATTTCAGACTTCCTAAACTCTCCTCTTCTCGAACAACCATAAACATCTGTAGAGGTGAAGATGCCACAGCCACCATAGTGGAAAGCTGGGCTTGTTGTCCCTGTGCAGGGGTAGCAGTGAGAGAAACCCCAGTAAGACACCCCTCTCTCTGAATTCCCTTCAGCTCAGTTCTCCTGAGCAGCACACAGGAAAAGAGGCTTGAAAAATACCTGAAAACATCATGGTGAAGTTGTAAATATTTTGCCTTTCTCTATTATACTCTGATGTATATATCTGATAAAGAAGCCATTTTCTAATACTGCTTTATTTTAACTGATGATATTAAATACATGGGTAAACAGGGTGGTTTTGCTTGATTGGTTTGGGGTAGTTTTTAATTTTTGAGGTATCAGATAAGAGTTGGTCTTTAAGAAATCTCTTTATGATCACCTGGTATGTGACAAATATGGCATCCTTGTGTCTTGAAGAAGCAAACATTCATCATCATCAGTTTTGTTTGATTATAAAACTAACAATCTTTAAGCATGATATGGGGTCTGAATAGCTCTGAAATTCAGTTACTGCAATTTTTTAAGAAATAACACAGTCATTAATGTGTAACTTGATAAATACCATTGTTTTACAGATTTGTGGTTTCAAATCATTCAAGAAAAGCACGGTCTTAGCATTTTTCCTGACTAAATAAAAACTTTATCCATTTCCTGACTTTTTGGATGGTCTTTCAATATCATAAACAAATAAATAATAATTTAATGTAACTCTGAAGGGATAGATATGGCATGTAAGGAATTGATTCTCAGCTCTTAAAATGATGATGGCTAAAATGTTGCTTTGAACCCAAACCTGAAATCCTCAGTCTAAACAAGTATTGATCATGGTAATGATGTTGTGCTAGAACAAGTTATTCCTTTATTTTATGTCAAGTGCTACATGAATATTCCTGCTGTTCAAATGAAAAATATAAAATTCAAATTTGTCAATTTGTATTAACTTTCTTCTAAAAATCAGTATCTGAGCATCACATGCAGAGAAACAACTGAAATCACCCAGAGAGAGAGCTGCATAATATACATTAGTTTCAAATTTGGAACATATCTGCACAGATTTTTCAAAACAACTGACCTTTTCAAAACTACTTAAAAAAAGAAAAAGAAAAAAGATTGTATTTAAATGGTCTGGAGGATTGTTGCTACAAAGAATGTGAAGTACTAGATTCATGCAGAAGGTTCTAAAGGAATTACTTGATAGGAAAGAGGAAACACTAGTAGAGGGGTTATTTTACTTTAGGGTTGTTAAATAGCAGAAGTGTTTATGTAAGAGTAAAATCTCCTTCCTCCAACTCCTACATCTACAAACTGCAGATCCTTCCAAGGTCTCAGTGAGACAAAGGCATGGAACTCTGTTGCAATTCTTTCCATGACCTGATATCTTTTTATAGAAAACTATTGGGAAATAAAAGATGGTTCTGAGATACATTTCATTGCTATGAGTTTCTAATCTACAAAATTTTGGAAAGATTATTTTCCCACTTTCTGCCTGGCTTTTAAAGCTGGTGATATTTTCATATCTTTTTTAACATTCCAAATTTTTAATGAGAATATTCAGCCAAACCTCTTCAGATGCCTTCCTTATTATGAAAAACATATTTATGCTTAAAGCAAAACAAAATAAAAAGTTGAATTGAAATATAAAAATAAGTAAGCAAATAATTCTAACCTAAAACATGATTAAAATTTTTCAGAATGTTAAAAAGAGAGGAAGTGCCAGTGTAACAAAACTCAGTGACTAATCTGCTCTTGTAGCAGAGGTGAGGGGGTTCTTTTCATAGGGTGACTACCAAAATGCAGAATTCACAATATCATAGAGTCATGCAATCATAGAATATCCTGAGTTTGAACAGATATACAAAGATCATCAAACTTCAACTCCTGGCCCCACACAGGACTACTCGATCTCCAAGGTCCATTCCAAACCCTTGACATTCTGTGATTCTATGGTTACTCCTGAATTCTCACAGTAGAGTGCCCTAAGACAAAAATATGTTGCACAGACAAACTAATATTGCAATTCAGGACATACTTTTAATAGGAATTTTTACAAGAAAAATCCAGATTCAAAACATTCTCTATTTCATCTAGTATGTCTGATGAGTCATTTGAGTTTAGTCATTTTGGAGAGAAGTAGAGCTGGCATTGGAGGTGGGTTGCTGCAGTAAAGCCCAGGCTGTGTCTGCAGTTCCTTGTAAAGCATTGATGCTGTAGGGTCAGGCATCACTCCCAATAACCTATATATGACACCAGCAGATATGGTTTCCCTTCCAAATTTCAGCTCCAGCCCTGACCTACCTATATATTCAAGTATAAAACTTTTTGAAATGACTGCTAGAAACTGCAGGTTATGACCCAAAGATTCCACTTCTAATAAAAATGAAAACCAGCCCAGCAACAGCTGCTGTTAACAGGTTTCAGATGCCCAACTTGCAGCTCTGCAAGGGAGTAGATCTGATTTAGACTAATGGCAGCAGCTTTCCATATAAAACAACATCAACAGAACCTTTCTCAGAGCTCTGGTGGTTTTCACAGTCACATACCCTTGATCCTAGAAATTTATTTTTTTAATTTTTTTTCCCCAAAAAGTTTAGGTACAGTTCAGATTCATCAAAAAAAGAGATAAAATTTCAAAGAATCCATTCTAGGTTATACATGAAATTCAGTATCTCCTGAATAATGGAAGTGTCATAAAATTCACAGTAGAGGCTGAAGACTTGGAATCAATGAAAATATCAGGATAAAAAACCATAGAAATATGCTTTTGGGGTAAATTGTTTCTGATAAGTTTCATATCCCAGGCTGAGTTGTGTCTCCTCCCTGGTGAGGTACTGCTGTGTTACTGCTGTCTCCCTGTAGGCAGAATCCTGTGAGAAGATCCCAGTCTGATCCAAGGGGAACCTGCTGCCACATCTCATCTAATGAATTCTCTAATGAAACTTTCAGCTTCTAAACTTTCAACTACAAAGTAGAACCAAGTAAGAAAATCCATCTTTGCTAGGCAACACAGATATAACAAACCAGTTTGAGAACAAACCTTGTCCCCTTCTTACCATGTCCTTGCCTGTCTTTTCCCCCTGCTACCCAGCTGCAGGCTCTTTATGACACCACATGATGCCTTCTGTGTGGCCATTGCTGTCCAGGGAAATTATGAAAAAATGAATAAAACATTTTATTGTACTGTAAATGGTTTTGCATTCCCTCACAGTGATGAAACCTTCCGTGACTGGGTGTACATAGAATATTTATAGGATATATGTAAAAGAGTAATGGTTGCATGAAAGAGCTTATGTAGGAGCTCCAGAAGGACGTCTCTCCCCAGACACCAGCACCTTCTCTGACTTGCAGAGTGATGGGTCTGAGTTCAAATCCTGCTTGAATTCAGATTTTTACCATCAATTCAGGATAAGAATTGGGACTGCAAATTTTCAGAGAATGTGTGAGGACAGAGGTGAGGCTTTTTTGTGCATTTGTGAAAAAACAGTTCTGTTTTCTATTTCTGAACAATCCCAACTCTCTCAGCCTGTCTCCATAGGAGAGGTGCTCCAGTCTTGTGAGAAACTTCGTGGCTCTCCTCCAGATTTGTGCCAACAGGCTCCTGGTGTTGGGGGCCCAGAGCTGGACACAGAACCTCAGGGGGTCTCACAAGAAAAGAGTAGAGATGGGGAAACACCTCCCTTGACTTGCTGCTCATGAATCTTTTCATCAATTATCCAATTATCCATTGATTATGAATTGGGGCAGGATCAAGCACTTATTCTTTTATGGATTTCACTGCATTGGAGTGTAGAAATATTATAGTATTGTGTAGATTACAGCATATCATGAGAAAATCGTAAGAATATCATAAGAAAATAAGTATTTCAGTTAAAAACAGAGTTACTAGATATTTCTCACTTTCCACACAGCCTAAAGTACACAGCAAACAGAGTTCTGCATACCCAGTGCTTTGGTGAATGAGGACATTTCTGAAGGTCTGAGTCACTTTCATGC